ATATTATATTTTAAACTCTGGTCAACCTTAAACCATAAGGAGAATGTTGTTATTGTCTTGTTGGCTAGTTGATGTGGTTGTGTTAGGCCACAAGTTCCAACCAGCATTCTGTGGGCTGTGGTTACAGTGTCATTTCAATTTTCCAAGCCTTTGGATTGCATCTCAGATCTGGCCTACATGTGTGTCACCCAGTCACCAGCTGGGATTTGAATGGTGTTCCAACTGTAATTCAGTTGCTAGTCCAAATGCTCTTGGGGGCATATGTATATCTATCTACACATGATCACTGTGGAGGTGAGCTCACGAGCTCATGAGTTCATGAACAGATTTAAGAGGTTGTTTTCATGAGCTCCTCCTTTCCTGTGATCTCTCTGTTACTTTCTGGTTTCTGTAGGCTTCCTTATTCCATTCCTACAACCAGAAAACTAGGGTGTGTTTTCCTACTGTCAAGGCCAAGCCCACCTGTCTCTGCCTCTTGGTTTTCAGCTGGCTGCGGCATGCTTTTATCTGGGTTTGTAGCTGCACTCAGTGGGAGAGACGGGGTGTAATGCACCTACTCCATCATATCTAAACCTATCTTAATTATATTTTGGGTCAGTTCTGAACATCTTTTAGTTACACTAAATTGTAGACAGTCTAAAATGTTTGTACCTAGACAGATTTCCTCACTTGTTCATTTGGATTGTTTTGTTTTTTAATGTTCAAGTCTTAGCAAGCATAGCCAGTTCTATAGAATGAAGTTGTTTACTTTGACTCCTAGTATAAAGTAAAAAGTACTTTTGAGCCAGAAATTCAGAAGCTTGCCAGTACCTGCTTGACAATAAACCCTGAGGATTTCTTCTATCAGTGGTTGATTGTAAGCTTTAAAAAAGAAAAAAAAACTTGCAAAAGTAGTTGGTTATTTCACATCACTTGTTATAGATGGAACTAGAACTTATTAAAGTCACAAGATTTCTGGCCTGGATAGCCCAAGTTTAGAGGAGGTACTGCTGAGTACTGAAGCAGTGCGCTTGTCTTTCAGAGCCTTTAACTCAGGGAAGACTAGTGGTGGGAGGTGGTTATTTAGTCATTATCAGACTATACTTTGGTAGTAATAATTCAGAAAATCATAACATGACTAACAAATAGGAAAACTGCTTAATAAAATCATTATTACAGGCAAAGGGCTAATATTTTTTACAATGTAAAGAACACTTATGCTGGGCACCGGTGGCTCACGCCTGTAATGCTAGCTACTCAAGAGTCAGAGAACAGGAGGATCACAGTTTGAAGCTAGACCCTTTCTCCAAAATACTCATCACAAAAAGGGCTAGTGGAGTGGCTCAAGCCCTAGTATTGCAAAAAAAAAAAAAAAAAAAAAAAAAAGAACACTTGAGCTGGTAGAGTGGCTCAAGTAGTAGAGCTCCTGCCTAGCAAGTGTGAGACCCTGAGTTCAAACCCCAGTGCTACCAAAAAAAAAAAAAACACTTAAAAACATCTTAAGTCAGAAAAACCTAAGCAGAGAAGGTTGGAAAGAAATATAGATGGCAAATAAACAGATAGTTGGGTAAATGTGTATGTGTAAAAATTAATATTTAAATATCAGATTACCATTTGTTTTACTGATGTGGTAAAGATAAATTTAGCCTTTTTAAAATATAAGCCAATGTATATTAGCAGTAGTTTGTATATTTCAGCATTTTTGGTTTTGTTGCTTTATTCCAATAAAAGCATTAAAAATCCAGAAAAATACTTTTATACTAGGATGTTCATGTTAGTATGAATGATAAGTGGAGAGGAGTGCCAAATTTATGCAAATAATGTATAATGCAAATTCCACTTATAGGAATAGGTCAAATTATTGGCTCATCCATATGAATACAATATATTATTATTTAGTCATTTAAAAATCACATTTTCAAAAAGTATTTGGCATGTGAATATGTCTGTAATAAACGGTTCACATTTAGCTGAGCATAGTAATTCACTGCTCTAATCCCAGCACTTGGGAGGAAGATTAAGAGTTCAAGGTCAACATGGGCTACAGAACAAGTGCAAGGCTATTCAGATCTACATACTGGGATCTCTGTCCAAGAAAAAAAAGAAAAACAGATTAAGGTTTTAAAAGCATAATGTAAAACTGTGATGCTTGGTTCACATTTTTGTTAAGAGGTGTTTGTACATGCAGATGGAAAATGTATATGAAACAAATGCTATGATCAACTTTAGTTGTAATTAGCCATTGGAAATAACTTTCTTTTAGTATTTCTATACTTACTACATATTATTCTATAAACCTGTGTTACTTTTATATTCAGAAAAAAAATGCTTTCTAAAATAAAGTATGTTCCCTTACCAAGAAAAGGTAAAAAACATCTCAAGAAAGATGAGAATTTCTATGATTTGGAACTTAATATGTAATACCAGTGTTTATCTCCTATTCCTTAAAGCTGTTTTATCTTGTAATATTTTATGTTTTTATTTATATCTTGAAATGTTTGTCTTGATTTTTTTTTTTTGTGGTACTGAGGTTTGAACTCAGGACCTGATTTGCAGGAGCTCTTACACTTGAGCCATACCCTCAGTCCTGTGTTGCTTTACTTATTTTCCAGATAGGGTCTCGAATTTTTGCCCAAGGTGGACTTAGATAGTAATCCTCCTACTTAACACCTCCCACATAGCTGATTATAGGCGTGCCCTACCACCTGACTTGTTTGTTAAGATGAGGTCCCAGTAACTTTTTGTCTGGACTAGACTGAAACCTCAGTCCTCCCTGTCTCTGTCTTGAATAGCTGAGATTACAGGCTTGGACTACTATACCCTGTACCTTGAATAATTTCTAACTTTGGGACTTGTGATGCATGTCTTTCTGCTCGGGAATTATTTCTTTTTGTTTGTTTATTTTATTTTGTGTTTTGGTTAGGTTGGTTGGTTTTATAAATGAAATAGAGTGAGGACTCCCTATTAGAATATTTTGCTAAAATTGAGATATTTGAAGAGAAATGTACGTGTATCTTCAGTTTACTTTGATACATGTAAAAAATAAAATAGATCAGAGGATGGAGAGTTTATGAATAGAAATGTTATAAAGCTGATACAGTGAATTATTAGCAGAATCTAGGGTATAATATAGGTGTCCTCTATAAAATTCTTTAATTTTTGCTGCATGTTTTGAAAATTTTTATAATGAAATGTAAGGAAAATTTTTGTGGGTGAACACCAGAATAGCTTTATTGTATTTTGATAGTCAATTTAGAATATTCAAATGTCCAAGGAATATCATTTCCTAAGTGAAGTAATTTTTTTTCTTTTTGGCCTTTTCCCAAAAAGCAATATGGCAAGAATTTTAAAGAAGTACATTTATTTATTTATGCATGCATGCATGCAGTATGGTGTTTGAATTTATGGCCTCGTGCTTGTTAAGCAGGCATGCTACCGCCTGAACCACACCCGTAGCCCAAGAAGCCATTTCTTTCTAAGGAATTAATGATCACTGATTGTAAAGACCTGGAGTGACCAAAACACACCCAGAGGGAAATTTAACACAACTAGATTTTGGTTTTGTTTTTTTAGTACTGCATCCCAGCCCCCACAACTAGATTTTGATAGCTCAGAACTGGTTATTGAGACAATTGGAAGGGGGCGGGATTAAAAAAAAAAAACAAAGACAAAATAATAATCATGTTTTGGAGGTTTTATTTCCTTTCCTCAAGGTTTGACTTGGTTTCTTCTGTTTAAGAGAGATTTTGGAAAAGTTATTGTTTATAAAACTCCTGTCATTAAAAAATAAAATCCATTTAAAAGTTAAGGCAACTAATGAGTGTAACCCTTCAAAATAATTTCCCTTTAGGTTAGAAGTTATAGATGATTTATCATATATCTCCATTCTCTTTTTAAAAGCCCTAGACTTTTTTGCATTGTGTAATACTTTCCTAAATACACTCATTACATTAAAATTACTATTAAAATTTCTATCTTGGGGCTAGCTGAGTAGCTCAAGCAGTAACAGCACCTGTATAGCAAATGTGAAGCCCTGAATTCAAACCCTAGTGCCACCAAAAAAAGGACAGAAAATTTCTATTTGTATAATAGTTTGCAAAAATCAAATTGTGATTTTATTCTTCTCATTAATAAGGTATACATGAATAATAGTGACTGACTAGTTCTACAGTGTTTTCTGAATGCTGTGTGAAAATGGTGAACTGACACAGCATTCTTCATATTAATACTTAAAAGAACCATGTAAAATAGAAAGCATTACAACACTTACCAAAACTGCAGACTCTGAATATTCTTTTGTCAATGTTTACATAATTTAAGCCTATTTTCTCTATTCAGCTAATGTATGTATGTATAGATCACTTAACTAAATCTCATTTTCCATTATTTATATTGTTTATTGAAATATACTATAAGATTCCTCCATTGAAAATACTGGTACTTTAAAGTTTAAATGTCACCTGTTGGTTCTGTTTATAATTTGATATTTAAGAATACATTTTTAGCTGGGTGCTGCTGGCTCATGCCTATAAACCTAGCTGCTTGGGTGGCTGAGATCAGAAAGATTGCAGTTTGAGGCCAACTCAAGCAGATAGTTTGAGAGACCTCCATCTCCAAAATAACCAGAGCAAAATGGACTAGAGATGTGTCTCAAGCAGTGGAGCTCCTGCTTTGCAAGCAAAGCCTTAAGTTCAAACCCCAGTCTGGCCAAAAAAAAAAAAAAAATTCTCTTATTTCTAATAGTGAAATTATATTTTCATTATTTTATATTATGACTAATGAAGCATCAAAAAGTTCCATGTAAGTATACACTGATCCCAAAGCCATTTGTCTTCTGCCATTCAAAAGCAGAACATGGCCAAGCAGGGGATGTAGCTCAAAGGTATAGTGCATCAGGCCCTGGGTTTAATCCCCTGTACTTCCTCCCTAAAAGCAAAACATTTACACAGAGGCTGTTCTTGAAGTAAGAAACTGAAGGGTTGTGGGATCTGTTCATTATATTGAAATGCTTTCTTTTCTAGGTCATCCATGCCTGGCTTATTATTTCATCTCTATTGTTGCTGTTCTTTTTTTCATTCATTTACTTAGGGTAAGTGATAAAAGTATTCAGGTTTTTTTTCAGACATTAACTCTGTGTGGGCCCCATATACCTTGTTTATGAATTACTCTTAAGTTGCATTTATTTCCATATATATGTCATACTTGATTTATAAAGGGTGAGTCAATATTACCAATAGGGATATTCTTTTCTTGTTCCTTGCTTATAATAAGTAGAAGCAAAAGAACTCACAAATGCAATTAATTTTAAGCCTTTTCAACACTTTATAGTCTACTAGTTGAAATATTTGAATCAATGTTAAGAATTTTAAGAATGTATATAAACATGAATTGATTTTTAAATTTTTCTGTTGTTCTTATCAATCCCTGTTTTCTTTAACATGAAATCGTAGTGGAAGTTTCACATATTCAATAAAAGAATGCAGTACCTCTGTTGAGAACAGCAAAACTCAAGGATTCCCCAGCCTGCTCTTTCTCTCTGCCTCAGTGGCAGAATAGTTTGTAAACCTTAAGTTAGGAAAGAGGGAGTGAAACTAACAAATAAATCAAAGAATCAATTACTTGGAGGCACAAGAGGGAATAAGCACAGACAAAAGAAGTAAGTGTGATAATCTATGTGAAATGGGTGATATTCTAGAAAACAATTATGAAAACTGACTACTGAGAAGATTAAAAAAAAATCTACACAGAGCCAAGAAAGAAATACACAAAGATGTTTAAGTTCCTATCCTACTTCCACTAGAATCAACAACAGTAGCAGGCCCAAATGGTTTCATAGGAATTTCTGTTAACCCTTTTAATAAATGGACAACTCTAATGCTATTTTTTGTTTTTGTTGTTGTTGTTTGTGGTACTAGGGCTTGAACTCAGAGCCTTCACCTTGAGCCACTCCACCAGCCCTATTTTTGTGTGAAGGGTTTTTCAAGATAGGGTCTCTCAAACTGTTTGCCTATACTGGCTTTGAACCACGATCCTCCTAATCTCTGCCACCTGAGCAAGTAGGATTAAAGGTGTGAGCTACCAGCGTCCGTTTTTTTTTGGTTTTTTTTGTATTTTTGGGTTTTTTTTTTGAGACGGTCTCACTATGTAGCCCAGGATGGCCTCAAACTCACTATCATCCTTCCTCAGCTTTCTGTATATATTAAAAAGCATCTAATATAATTTAGCACCTGTTCCTGATCAGATTCCGTAATAAAATAGATAGATGTTTATTTCTCTTATATGATAAAATGGAAGAATCTCATTTTGGATTCCTTCCTTACCTCTATCCAATGATGAATTCCAAATGTATGAAAAATCCAAAAAACACTGAACAAAATCACAGGATGGATGATAAACTGCTAACATATTTTTTACTTCATATACAAACACTAATTTACTTTAAAGAACCGCTACATGGTAATAAGAGCACAAGCTAATGGGAAAAAATGGGCAAAGTATATGGAAAAGCACAGATTACTTTTAAATATATGGAAACACATACATCCCACTTATAAGACTAATGCTAATTAAAGCTGCACATTAACAAAGATCAAGTAGTTTGATAATATCCTAAGGTGGAAAAATGCATAGAAATGAACACTCACCTATTGATGTTTAACATTTGTTGAGAACAGTATGATATGGCCATTAAAATTTTAAGTACATGTATCCCAAACCTGTAATTTATAGGAATAATCATGGTAGCATTATTTCTAATAGCAAAACAAGTTGCAGTCAGGTGCTGGTGGCTCACATCTATAATCTTAGCTTACTCAAGAGGCAGAGATGGGGAGAATCTTGGTTCAAAGCCAGCCTGGGCAAATAATTCAAAAGACCCTATATCGAAAAACCCCATCACAAAAAAGGGCTGGTGGAGTGGCTTGAGATGTAGGCCCTGAGTTCAAACCCTGTATAGTGTAAAAAATAGAAAAAAGTTCAGATATGGATAATGTATGGAATACGCTATCATTTGTGTCTAATAAGCAAGTCTATATTTGCATAGATTCTCTCGAAGTAGGCATATAAAACTAATAACATAGTACTGAGGGGAACTGGGATAGGAGAGTGGGAAAGGAAACTTACTTTTCTTAGTTTCTTTTGTGAATTTTATATCTAACTCATGTATTACCTAAAGATTGATAACTTGTTTCATTTAGTTTGAGTGCTAGTATATCTGAAATGCTTAGTACACATAGCAGCATTACCTAAGAATTTCAGTATTTGCTTTTTGGAATCTGAAAATAGAACAAGAATCATCTTCCTAGGTAGTCTCCATAATTCAATTTGTGCTTGAATATTTCCTTTCTCTTCTGCTACCCCACGGTGATAGTTGCAACCTCTTTCTTTTTAGATGATGAGTATTTTCCCACAACATTGAAGTACTGTTATAAAAATACTAAGTGGTGGGGGTGGGTGGTACAAGCCTGTAACCCCAGCTACTCAGGAGGCAGTTTTAGACCACCCCAAGCACAATCGGGGAGACTGTCTGAGAAACTAAATGCAAAAGCACTGGTGTTGTGGCTCAAATGGTAGAGCACTGGCCTAGCAAATTTGAGGTCCTGAGTTGAAACCCCAGTACTACAAGAAGAAAAGCATTCATTGCTTTAAAAAAAAAAGCTAGTACACCTTCATACAGAACATGTGCTTAGCATCTTAACATGTGCAAGGCTTCAATCCCAGCAACACACATTCATGCATTCTCAGTCTCAGTCTCCCTTCCCCTCTCTCCCTTCCTTTCCTGTCCTCTCCCCTTCTCCTTCTCTCCTTTCTTTCCTCTCTCTCTCACACACCATGTGTGTTTGTCTGCCTCTCAAATGACATTTTATATGATTTGAAGATAAGTTCAGTCGTCCTTTCAAATTAGTATATCTCCCTTCTTACACACTATTTCTCATACATGGAATCACTTTTTTCAAGGAACTTACATCATGCCTTGGCCATATTATTTGTGTGTGTGTGTGTGTGTGTGTGTGTATACTAAGTTTCATTATGAAAATAACATCATTTGTAACCCAGCTATAAAACTTAACTGGTACATGTTTAATTTCAGATATAATTTAAGCTAGGAGTTCCCAAAATATACTATTACATTTTAGGTATTATGTGATTCTTTGTTCTTATTTTTATAGTTGTGGCCTATAATACTAGTTTTTCATTTATGTGAATTATAAAGCTGCCTATTTAAATAAGCTGCACGCAGCCTGGAGCTGGTGGCTCACGCCTGTAATTCTAGCTACTCATGAGGCAGAGATTCAGGAGAATCTTGGTTTGAAGCCAGCCCTAGGAAATAGTTTGAGAGAGCCTATCTCAAAAATAAACCCATCACAAAAAAGGGTTGGCGGAGGACATAGTAAAAATGTGAAGGTGGGATTTGACTATCTCTTAGGGAACCATAGTTCTATATAGTGTCTCAGTGAGAATCATTGTACATAAATAATTTTAAATCTGTTTAACTTTTTCAGGGAAGTGTTTAAAACCTATAATGTTGCCGTGGACTACATTACAGTTGCGCTCCTGATCTGGAATTTCGGTGTGGTAGGAATGATTTCCATTCACTGGAAAGGTCCACTTCGACTACAGCAGGCATATCTTATTATGATCAGTGCCCTCATGGCCCTGGTATTCATCAAGTACCTCCCTGAATGGACCGCCTGGCTCATCCTGGCTGTGATTTCAGTATATGGTAATACCTGAGACTGACACTTTCTTCATTGCAGAAATACCTTGCTGGTGCTTTCCTTCCTCTTACTAGTTCTTGGGGAAAATCTTAACAGTTATCTCATACTCCTTCAGTAGATAATTAAGTAGGTATAGTATCTTTTTTTTTGTCTTCCTTTTATAGTGCTGGGGACCTTGCACATGCTCCGCAAATGTTCTATCACTGAGCTCTATCTCTAACCTCTTACTGCTCCAGTTTAATTCAGCAGTGGGTTAGAGGGAAGAAGCGTGGACTTCTGCTTGGAAGACTTAGATTCAAAACCCCATCTGTAGACTGGTGGAGTGGCTCAAGTGGTAAAGCACCTGCTTTTCAAGTTCAGAGCCCTGAGTTCAAACCCCAGTACCAAAAAATTTTTTTAAAAAATCTCTTAGCACACATGAGGCCCTGGATTCAATCCCCCTACCACAAAGAAACAGTAACAAAAAAACTCTCTACTGCCAACAGTTTTTCTGATTTTAGGAAGTTCACTGCAGCTATTTGAGCTTCAGTTTCCTTATTTGTAAACAAGGCTTCAAGTTTTTAAGAGTTCAGTGAATTGAATATATGTTGAAAAACACTAGCAGAGCACTTGACACAAAAACACTCAATTCATGTTTAAAATCAAAAATAGTACATCTTTTTATAAAGCAACTTGAGTGGAAGAATTATCTCTTTTTTAAATTGTGCTGGGTGGGGGTATATTGTGACATTTACAAAAGTTCTTACAATATATCATATTTGAGTTCACCCCCTCCACCATTCTCCTTTAAACCCCCTCCCCCCACCACCCAGAATTATCCCTTTAAAAATTAAATTTGCAAGTCTGCGCCTGTAATCCTAGGTTCTCAGGAGGCAGAGATTAGGAGGATTTTGGTTTGAAGCCAGTTGGCAAAATGTTAGTGAGAACTGATCTAAAGTTCAAGAACCTGAGTTCAAACCCTAGTACACAAAAAAAAAAAAAAATGCCAGGCACGGTGGTAGCACATCACATGCCTATAATCCCAGTATTCAAGAGTTAGAAGCAGGAGGATCATGAGTTTGAGGTCATCCTGGGCTACAAAGTGAGACCCTGTCTCAAAAAAGAATAAACTAAACAAAAAGTTCTGAGTCTCAGTTTGCATCTGTGAAATGAGCACAATACCCATTTATTGTATTTGTAATTAAATCTACAGAGAGGTCTATGGATATAACCCGTGTCTGTAGCATAGAGGAGGCTCTCAATAAAAGCCAAAACTTCAATAACAAAAATAAAGGTTTCATAAAGAATTCAACTTACTTGGACAATGTGAGATTCAAATTTTTTAACAACCACTGTGATATGGGTCCTGATAGGTCAGAATGTACCCTAGCCACGAGTAAGTAACCAAGGCAGCCATATAGGTTTCTACTCTGGCTGTTTCCCCACGATAACCAAAAAGAGACCCATTTTCAGAGGTCAGCAAGTAGTCTATATTTTAAAGACCATGCTCATTTATCACTATTCAAATATTTATTACAGGTGTGATAATCCACAGTGAGAAAGAAAAAGTCTACAGAAATGGAACTGAACTGGCTCTGTTTTCATATTTGAGCAGCTAGTCAGAATTATAGAAGTCTATGCCTGACCTTCATAATGCCCTCATGTTCATCTGTCATTACACAGCTGTGGTTAAGAATGCCAGGTCTAGCTAGGTGCCAGTGGTTAACGCTTATAATCCTAGCTACTCAGGAGGAGCACGGTTTGAAGCCAGCCCGGCAAATAGTTTGAGACCCTATCGTGAAAAAAATCCAGCACAAAACAGGGCTGGCGGAGTAGCTTAAGTGGTAGAGTGCCTGCCTAGCAAGCATGAGGCCATGAGTTTAAACCCCAGTAGTGCCAAAAAAAAAGCCAGTTCTGTGCCAAGTGTGATAGCGTATGTCTCCAGATCCAACTCCAAAGGAGTTGATCCTGAGGCATAAGGATCACTTGAGCTATAAGTTCAAAATCGGCCTGATCAACATAGCAAGATCCCAGCTCAAATTAAAAAAAGAAGAAAAACTTTCACTGGGGATATAGTTCAGTGGTAGAGCACTTGGTTGGCAATTACTCTGTGAGGCTCTGGATTTAAGCTCCAACAACACACACACACACTGCCAATTCTAAAGACAGAATGTCTAGGAACAGAATCCAGAGTCTACTAGTCTCACTTAACTGACTTTATAACCACAGTTTATCCAACTCTGAAAGTACATGTTTTATGAATCTTAAATGATACATGTAGTATTTGTAGGACAGTATCAGTAAACGTTAGCTCTCTTTTAGAATATGTAATCCTGTGAAGTAAGCAAGGTAATAGTTATCCCTCTTTTACTGCTAAGAAACTTGAAGTTTATACAGGTAAATTATTTGCCAAAGAGCAGTAATAATAATAATAGAATCTGAATTTCAAGTCCAGTATTCTTTCCACTGCATTACACTGTAGAACGTCTTTGTCTTCATTCACTTTAGTTGCTCTAAAGATCACTGAGTTTTTCATTTCAAAATTCTATAAGGGAAAAACATGTCATGCAGCCAAAATAGTTACAGGATGTGACAGCTTCAAACAAGCTGAAGACCTCGTTATTTCAGACTTCCCTTTCCCCACCTCCCAGGGGTGGGGAGGGGTTTGAAGTCAAGGCTTCACATTTGTTGGGCAAGCACTCTACCACTTGAACCATGCCCCCACTTCTTTTTGTTTTAGTTTGTGTTCAAATAGGGTCTTATGTTTTTGCCTAGGCTGGCCTCAAAGCCACAATCCTTTTACCTCTACCTCCTGAGTAGCTGGGTATTACCGGTATGCACCACCACACCTGGTCCTCAAAATTTCCCTTTTCTCATTCAAAAAATGTAAGTGGAAGTGATGAAGATAGAGGTTTCTCTCCCCCACCCCCCCGCCACCGTGAGTGTGTGTTTTATTACTATATTTTTGTTGTTACTATTATACAAAAGAGACATGACTACCTGCAGCCATGAAAGTCGTTTTCTCACTTCAGTGCAGCAAAATGATAGTAATGTGAGCATAAGCTATCAAGTCTTCATTTACAAATTTAGCTATAGCTGTTTTATATTTTTGAGTGTTTGAAATTATCTTCCATATACCTGTTCTGAATTTTCATGACACAGAAAAATATATTAAAAATTGCAGTTCCTAGAAGGAAATGGGGATAAAATCAGAAATAATTTAGCCTATTGCTTCCTCTCTGAGTTACTAGTTTTGTAAAAAAAAAAAAAAATCCAATTTTTAGCATACATATGTTCTGAGACCTGAATGTTTGTGAAGTACTTTTATTTGGCTGAAAACTAAATACTAAATTTGATCATACAAAGACTTACCATTTTGTTTGTATATTGTTTCATTTCTTATTTCAAGTATCCTTAAAAAAAATTTTTTTTGGTGAGACTGGAGTCTAAACTTGGGTCCATTTTGCTTTGGTTATTTTAGAGATGGGGGTCTTGTGAACTATTTGCCCAGGGTTGATTTCAAAAATTTGATTCTCCCAATCTCAGTCTCCCAAGTAGTGAGGATTACAGGCATGAGTCACCAACACCTGACTTCATTTTATTTTTTCTGCCACTAGGGATGGAACCTAGGGCTTCACATATGATAAGCAAATTCTCTACCACCGAGCTCCACCCTCCAACTCTATACTATTTTTCAGAAGAAGGGCTGGAGGACTGGAGGAATAGCTCAAGCCATAGAGTGCCTGCCTTGCAAGCATGAAGCCCTGAGTTTAAACCCCAGTACCTCCAAGCAAAAAAAGAAGGGGTGAATCTCTTCTTACTCTGCTCTTCATATTTTGAAAAGTTCAGTGTTTTAAGTAAAACTTCCATTTGTAACTTATATGAGATTTATTTGGAAATAATTCGTCTTCATTTCTGCTTGTCATAGATTGCCAGCTGCTCTAGAGTAGTTGTCTTATGTGGCTTGCTCTTTTCTTCACACTAAGAAGATTCATTCCTAGAACAGTCTGCTGTTCTTGCTGACAGTTCTTAGCAAATAGCAGTAAGACCACAGTAGACTTTTCAGAGTTCTTCTGTTTGGTTTTGTGTGTTTTGCTTAGGTTGCTTTCTTTTCCCACCAATTTGCCTGTCAGTTATTTCATAGTCATTCAACATCTTTTTGTAGAAAAACAAAAACATTAAACCCTTTCTCTCAGTTAATTCTTCCCTAACACAACCATTTACACATTTAGCCAATACAATACATTTTATCAAATGTCGTCGTCTTCTTCTTCTTCTTTTTTTTTTTTTTTCTTCTCTTTCTAGATTTAGTGGCTGTTTTGTGCCCAAAAGGCCCACTTCGAATGCTGGTTGAAACAGCTCAGGAGAGAAATGAAACTCTCTTTCCTGCTCTCATTTACTCCTGTAAGTATTTCAAAATTACATTGAATTAGTACACTCAGTTTCATAGTTGTTTTTTGATCTATTAAAACTAAAGATGTTATGATTTTTAGCATGCATTTACTTGTGATTGATAGGAGTGCTTGAAGCAACATTACAAAGATACGTGATTTCCATAGAGAAATGATAGTTTGTGTTTCCACTGCTCACTTGGAATTTTGTCTTTCTCAATAGCAACAATGATGTGGTTGGTGAATATGGCTGAAGGAGACCCAGAAGCCCAAAGAAGGGTATCTAAAAACTCCAAGTATAACACACAAAGTAGGTGACTTTTATTTGGGTGTATCTTAATTTTGCAGGATCATTGTCATCTTATAGGCTAGCAGTGATTCTAACCTCTTTCTTTGATCATAGATTCCTTTGAGAATCTTCTAGAGCTGTGATAATCCTCAGTGAAAACACACATAAATATTTAAGGAGCTCAGAGACTTCAAACACAACGAGCCAGTCTGTGCACTCTGATTAGGATTCTGCCATTAAATTCATAATACCGGCATGGAAAGGTTCAATTTGAGACTATGATTAAAAAAAAAAAAACCCTATATCTCCAAATATGTAAAGATGAGAACCTCAGCTAAGTGTGGTGGCTCGGCACTTAGGAGGCTGAAGCAGGAGGATCATGAATTCAAGGCCAGCTTGGACCACAGAGCCCTCCCCTCAAATAGATAGATAAATGGATAGATGGAGGGATGGATGGATGGTTGGATGGATAGGTAAGTAGGTAGATAGATAGATAAGTAGGTAAACAGGTAGGTAGGTAGGTAGAGAGAGGGAGAAAGAGAGAGAATGAACCTCTTGTCTAATGTGATCAGAGTAACTTTAATTGATTTGAGTTGTGGTGATATGTATACTAAGAAAGTCAACTATTCCCAGTGGATATGACTTTCTGGAAGTGGAGAACATTGATGACCAAATATAGGGGATTGCAATTCCTCAGAAGACATTAGAAATTGTTATCAGAAAGAACTGAAGAATAACAACACAATATAAAAGTAAAGAGAGGAAACTTTTTTAAAGAGGAAAGCAAAGGACTAATCCTACCTTTATAAGGACACTGAAAAACAGAGACAAAATAAAAATTAGTAAGAGAGGAAAAAATGTCTTTGATTGAGTTTCTCTTTGTCACCAGAAGGAGAGTTTAGATTTTTTTTTTTTTTTTTTTTTGGTGGTGCTTGAGCTCAGGTCCTTCACTTTGAGCCACTCCACCAGCCCTATTTTTTTTGTGAAGCCCATTTTTTCGAGGTAGGGTTTCAAGAACTGTTTGCCTGGGCTGGCTTCAAACTGTGATCTTCCTGATCTCTGCCTTCTGCATAGCCAGGATTACAGGCATGAACCACTGGCGCCCAGCATGAGTTTAGGTTGTACAGAACCAAGAATACTGTTAAATTATCATCAGGTCACTGCAAACAGGATACTTTCTACTGGGAATTCTTATTTCAGGCCCAAAGAGATGAGGCTTCATTCTACAGTGTATGAGGCAGCAGAACAGGTGGCATAAGACCCATGATAGACCTAGAGGGAAAATAGGAAATGTGTTGGAAATTTGCTGGAAACCTGGTTATTGTATTAAGCTAAAGAAAGTCATACAGTCATCCATGACTGCCTATGTATATTAGTATATTATTGGTACATCAAGATTTTGTTCTTTTGACAAATGTCAGTTGAGCACCTAACCATGTGCCCAGGACTTTGCTAGGCTCTGGGAATATAGCACTGAATAAGGCATTACTTGCCCTTGTGGAGTTTATAATGTATTTGGGGAGGCAGAGTCAACAAATAGTTACATAAATAAGTCATTCAATTGTGTGAGTACTACGAAGAAGCGTAAGTTGCTATGAAGAAATTTACAGTAGGGGAGTTTCGTTATTCTGTAAGTAATAACAGTGGTGGCTAGCTGAAGAATGGAAGAAGAACTGTCCAAAAGGACAACTTGGGCAAGGGCTTTGAAGTGAGAAGGAGCTAAATGCACCACAGAGCTCCTCAATGAGAGTGGTCTTGGGGTTTGGTGGGCTTCCCACTAGGCAGGCTAATTACCATGCCTGGCCCACTGACTGGTTGAAAACTGCCACGTTTGAGGCAGTTAAATTGGGACTAAAGAGCACTGGGCTTCAAGAAGAAAGTCTATGCATGGAAAAAATGATACACCTGAGAGATCACCTGTTTTGCTTGAACTCTGTCAGAGCGTCTGGGGATAACTTAGTCAGAGGTAACACATAGAAAATCAGGAGGCGCTTTTCCAAAACAAAAGGTGTGAATACTTTTTGCATAATGATAATAATAGAAAAACTGAGTTTTAACATAAAATTACGTTGAGATGGAAAGCGTTAAATCTGTGCATAAGGATGTGAAGCTAATGCTTCACATAGGAGCAAGTACCTAAAGTAAACCATCAGATAACACTATAAGCATGCTACTTATAATTGTGGGGGTAAATGCCAAAAAAAAGAGCTGAGAATAGGAAGGAGGACAGCAATAAGAAAGGATAGAGCAGTACAGGAACTGCTGTTTTTGTTTATGAATCTTGTATGATTTGATAAAGTGAACCAGAGAAGACTCAGGTTTTGTGGAGACTCAGTTAAGAAAAGAAAGAATGAAAATTGCCAATCCAGAATTGCTTAGAGCCCTCCCACAGGAAGTCCTTTCAAGTGAGACCCCTAAAGCTTTATTCATGGTAAACCGGCTTCTACACTGAACATATAGGACTTGTGAAAACAAAGGCGAGAGATCTAGCATGTAGCTCAGTGGTAGAGGACTTGCCTAGCATTTATGAGCACGGCAAGAGAGTGGGGCAGAGGGAGAGAGGAGAAGGAGAATTGTGAACTTTTTATGTATTTAAATATTTTTAATGTGTGGAAGTTTCTTAAGACTTGTCATACTCAGTTCAGTCAGATTGACAGTCACTAAAGCCAGTGGTTAAGTACCAACAGGTAGGAAGCTTTCAGTTGCATAAAACAGAAAAACCCAACTCATTGCTATAAACAAAGGAAAAATATATTCTCTAATGTGACATGGATCCTTTAGTGCAGGCATTTGTAGAATTCGTTATTTTTAAGGTTCACTGATGTTAACAAGGGCCCAGGTTCTTTCACTCTTCCTACTTTGCCATCTTTAGCATACAGTATGTTCTTCAGCGCCTTGTGACCATGACAACAGCAGTTTCAAGCATCATACCCAGATGAGACAACATATAGGGGAGAAAAGAAGCTGTTTGCCTTTTCCTTGAAAAGAGGAAAGATAAAGTCTTCAAAATTCCTAGCAGACTTTGCTGAACATGTACTGGCTGGTATGGTCACAGCCTCAAAGCTGTAGAAGTTTTATTGGGAAGAGAAATAGAGGGAATGCCATGCTTGGCTTAACCAGAGTTTACCACCAGAGTCATCTGGATGAGAGGTGGAAGCTCAAGCAAACCATGACCCTGCCTTCAGCAAATAAGGGGGAATGACTCCTGCGTAAGCAGCCAACAGGCATTGCTACTGTGCTCTGTGGGTTAAGAGCCAGCCAGTCTAGTTACCATGACATACCAGGTTGTTACTGTTTTCATGCAATTTTCTTTTTTATTAAATGATTCTAAATATTAGAGCTGTACTTTCTACTTGCTCTTGAAGGCACAGAACGGGAGGCACAGGACACTGGTCCAGAGAATGACGATGGCGGCTTCAGTGAGGAATGGGAAGCCCAGAGGGACAGTCATCTGGGGCCTCAGCGCTCTACACCTGAGTCTCGGGCTGCTGTCCAGGAGCTTTCCAGCAGCATCCTAACCAGTGAAGATCCAGAGGAAAGTATGTACATTTCTCTGTGTTACAAATTCATGGGTTCCTTTAGGTAGCTGTATTGTTAACTCCTCAAGAATAAAATGAATGATCTCATAAGCATACAATGCTAAGTAACACTACAGTTTAGTGAGAAATACTGGCAACAGTTGATGTTACTTGTTATAGTTAAGATTGTAAATAGACCAAATTCTGCCCTTCACATTTTTTAAATGCACCTTTACAGCCTGATCTTTTGGCATTTATTTTATAAAATAAAGGATTTTTTTTTTTTTTTTGAGGGTTGGAGGTGTGACTCAAGTGGTAGAGCACCTGCCTAGAAAACACAAGGCCAGGTGCTGGTGGCTCATGCCTGTAATCCTAGCTACTCAGGAGACAGAGATCAAGAGGATCTTGGTTTGAAGTCAGCCCTAGACATAGTTTGGGAGACCCTATCTCAAAAAAAAAGACTGGCAGAGTAGCTCAAGGTGTAGGCCCTGAGTTCAAGCCCCAGTACTGCAAAAAAAAGAAATAAAGAAAAGGGAAAAGTAAAAATTTTTTTTTAATTTTTATTGTTTTATTATTCATATGTGCATACAATACTTGGGTCATTTCTCCCCCCTGCCCCCATCCCCTCCCTTACCACCCACTCCGCCCCCTCCCTCTCCCCCCCACCCCCTCGATACCCAGCAGAAACTATTTTGCCCTTACCTCTAATTTTGTTGAAGAGAGTGTATAAGCAATAATAGGAAGGAACAAGGGTTTTTGCTGGTTGAGTTAAGGATAGCTATACGGGGAGTTGACTCACATTAATTTCCTGTGCATGTGTGTTACCTTGTAGGTTAATTCTTTTTGATCTAACCTTTTCTCTAGTTCCTGGTCCCCTTTTCCTGTTGGCCTCAGTTGCTTTTAAGGTATCTGCTTTCCTTTTTAGGAGGAGTAAAACTTGGACTCGGCGATTTCATTTTCTACAGTGTCCTGGTTGGTAAAGCCTCAGCAACCGCCAGTGGAGACTGGAACACAACCATAGCCTGTTTTGTAGCCATATTAATTGTAAGTATATGCGAAGAAAAATGTGTCAGGATTTCTGTCAAAATTCTTAGTTCTGTATGTCTTTAAAGGCAATTTGCTTTTAACCCCAGGTGGGCTGAGAGTTCCAATCACCTGAGAAGCTTTTTAAAAACTTAGTTATTAGACCTAACCTGTGTAGTTCTTCACATTAAAATCACCTAGGAACATTTAAAACTGTGAGGTATCGTTTTTGTGTGTGTGTGTGTGTGTGTTTTAAAGTTCCCCAGGAAATTATGAGTACTTTTAATTAGGAACCCTTTATGGAGCCCAGCATTGATATTTATGAAACTCATACCCTGAAACTCAGTCTCAATGGCATCAGCAGATCCTCATCCAGTCCCTGGCTGTAGTCACAGAGCTTGTGGTGACTACATTTGACAGCACAGCCTACAGCAGGGAGAGTACTTTGGGCAGCAGGCGTAGAGAGGGAGAAGCTAACCTAGCGCATGATCTTGCTTACAGTGCCACAGCCTGGACCCTTAGGCTTTCACAACTGTGATTTAAGTGAATAACATGTAAGATTTTTCTTCATTTTACTGAAGATGTGATACCATATGTATCACTATCATTGGTAGAGTATGTGACTGAATTTAAATGAGAGCTTAGGTAAGCGCCTGTGCTTACATTTATTTTCTGATTATATTTGTGACTTATCACAAAAGAAACAGTCAGAATTTGTATGTATTTTATTTTTTTTGATTTTTTTTTTTTTTTTAGGTGCTAGGGACTTGTACATGCTAAGCAGGCTCTACCACTGAGTCACGTATTGTATCTGATTTTGAACAAACTGAAGTAGTGCTCAGACTCCAGACTTTGTAGCTAGGGTCTCAGTGATTAGGGTTCAGCTTCTGTGTATTTACAAGAAGGCAGTATGCTCATCACATACTAGCTTCTGTTATCTGTTCTGTGAGACTCTCTTTGTCCCCACATGGCATAAGGAATGTTCTCTGTCTCTGGGATTTTTTTCCCCCAGTACTGGGGATTGAACTCTGGTCCTTGACACTTGCTAGTTTACCACTTGAACCACTGCCCCAGTCCAGCCTCTTGGATTTTAATGTGCCAAACCAAATTGGAGCCCTTAATGTTTTAGACAAAAATTGCAGCACTTTTTCAAAAACTATTTAGTTTCAGGTTCTGTTCCTTTTAGAATTAGGGAATAAAATATCAATGGTGTGTACATGGTGAACGCTGTATAGGGAAGGTTTCCTTTTTATCAAGAGACTACATTTAAGGCAGGTGCTGGAGGCTCTTACCTGTAATCCGAGCTACTCAGGAGGCAGCGATCAGGAGGATCACAGTTTGAAGCCAGCCTGGGCAAATAGTTCACAATACCCTTTCTCAAAAATAACCAACACAAAAAGGCCTGGTGGAGTGACTCAAGTGGCAAAGTGCCTACATAGCAAGCATGAAGCCCTGAGTTCAAATTCCACTGCTGCTAAAAAAGAAAAAAAAAGCTGCATTTAAGTTAGGCATGGTGGCAGACACCTGCAGTCTCAACATTCGAGAGGCTAAGGCAAGAGGATTGTGAGTTTGAAACCAGCATGGGCTACATAGTGAGACCCTGTCTTAAAAAAAAAAAAAGCAGCTATATTTTTGGAATAGTGCTACACTTAGCATGCACAAAGCCCTAGATATAATCTCCAGCATCAAAAAGAAAGCCACTTCTCTTTTATTTCCTCTTGTCCTCCTATCCCCTGCCCTGCCTGTTATACAAAGTGATCTCAGATTCCTGGGCTCAAGTGATCTTTTTGCCTTAGTCTCCCAAGAAGTTGGGATTACAGATATTCATCATTGGGCCCAGCTCTAGAAGCTACATTTTTTTTTTATGGCTGTGTTTCCAAATTTAATGAAACACAGGAAATCAATGTGAGTCAATGCCTTATCTCAACCAGCAAAAACACTTGTTCCTTCCTATTATTGCTTATACTCTCTCTACAACAAAATTAGAAATAAGGGCAAAATAGTTTCTGCTGGGTATTGAGGGGATGGGGGGGAGAGGGAGGGGGTGGAGTGGGTGGTAAGGGAAGGGGTGGGGCAGGGGGGGAGAAATGACCCAAGCCTTGTATGCACATATGAATAATAAAAGAAAAAGGAAAAAAAAAAAAGTATTAAAACATGTTATAAAAAATGATAGCAACCATGAAGTACATCAGTAAATTTTTAAAATTAGGTGAGTTGTGGTTTAGTGAGATAGCAAAATTTGTAAGTGATTACTCACTTTACTTTAGCCAAGAAAATAAAAAAGCCGATGTTGAAAACTCAAAAAAAAAAAAAAGAAAAAGAAAAAGAAATTTAACCCAAAGTAAAGTATTAGTTAACCAAGACTTGTTATTATTTTACATGAAATGCCTTCATAATTACACATGTGTGTTTGCCTTTCCCATCTCCTCCACAGGGTCTGTGCCTTACATTACTACTCCTTGCCATCTTCAAGAAAGCATTGCCAGCTCTTCCCATCTCCATCACCTTTGGGCTTGTTTTCTACTTTGCCACAGATTACCTTGTACAGCCTTTTATGGACCAGTTAGCATTCCATCAATTTTATATCTAGCATATTTGCAATTGGAATCCCATGAATGTTTCTGCTTTGACTATAATAAAATCTGGGGGAAACAAAGGTGATTTTCCTGGGTCCCCATCTAACAAAGTCAAGATGCCTGGCTGGACTTCCGCGTCTTCCTTCCAAGCTTTCCCAACCACCTGCACTGTTGGACATGGAAGGAGGTGTCTACAGAAAATGGATTTGAACTTACTTCATCATGGTGGACTATGTCCCTCGGTGCAAAAAACTTACCAGATTTGAGGGAAAACACAAGGAAACATGGTGGGCTAAGAAGTCGCTGTGCTCCACCAGCAGTGAGACCCTTGGTCACGGGAGATTTTACCAACACTACGAACTCTCAGGACTACCGTTACCAAGAGGTTAACTGACATGGTTTAAACCAAACAGAGCTCTTCATCTTAGCCTCCATGTTGAAATCACCGTAGTAAATGTGTATTGATTGAATTATGAACCTTTGCAGGAGGTACATGAGAGTAGGCACCAGCAGCACAATGGCAAGGGGGCTCATTTCCAGACTTTTCTGCTGCAGACTTTAAATTTTTAAATAAGACCCCACACACTTTGAGTCACATTATATGCATATGTTGATTTTAAAATTTTTGTTCTCAAGCACTGAACCTCATTACCATCTGTTGCCATTTCTTCCCAAGATGAATCTGAACTTATTTGGGGTTGCTTTATCCTGAAAGTCTTACCTCGGGTTCCAAATTTAGTAATTTCTGGAAATAATGGAACTGTTACTACTCAACGGTTCCCGAACATCCTTAAATAAATTCTGGATTTTCCACCAGATTCCTAAATTTTAGGCACACTTGTAAACTCATTTGCCCCCACATGCCTTCTGCCTGTCTTTCCCTTTCCCTCAGCAGCTTTCTCTGACAGCAAATGAGACAGCTCTGACATGGTAGCAGGTGATTTGGTTAACCCAGGGTTTTCCTCTTTTTATGATGCAAAGAATGTGTCAATGAATCAGTGTGTCATCTTTGCTGTCACAGCTCTGTTGATGGCAAGTAAGATGTGTGCCCAAAGACAGAATTAAAGAAGAGTAAAATGGCTGGTGAAGCACTCTTTCCTGGTTTTTCTTTTGTTACTACAGCCTAGTTTAAATTAGGGTTGGGGTGTGGCTCAATGGCAGAGCACTTGCCTAGCAAGGCTCTGGGTTCAGTCCCCAGCACTGCAAAACAGAACCATAGAAATCTAATTAGTGGCCCAACAGTGGTGGTCTGTACACCTATGAGCCGTTTTTATCTGTTCAAAGCAAAATTTTAAAAAAGCCATTTTTTATTTTTTGGTGAGTGGTGAGAGAACCTGGGGTCAGGAGGAGAACCAGCAGCCAAGCAGAGAGAAAAGGGCCTCGCATAGCCAAGGGGCAAAGTGAGCTCCCAGCCTGGGCAGATGTGAAGGAGGAGATCCAGGTTGCTCCTCTGGAGCCTCACAATGGGTGTTTTGTTGTCACCTGGCTGCATCACCTTGTGTCAATGTGCCTTTTTTTTTTTAGGGGGGGGTGTATGTGTTTGTGTGTGTGTGTGTGTGTGTGTGTGTGTGTGTGTGTGTGTGTGTGCTGTAAGTGGACCCCAGGGCCTTGTGCATGCTAAGCAATTCCTCTACCACTGAGCTCCACCCCCAGCCCTGGATGTTCCTATAAAGACATTAACTTTAAGGGCCTAGTGGTAGCGCTTTCCTAGCATGCACAAACAAGGTCCTGGGTTCGGTCTCCAAGAGAAGAAGCTAACTTCAGGAGTGTTGTGATGGTGCTAACCTGTTCCAAACAAAAAAGTGGCTCATCTCTGATAGTTAGCAGAGAGGAAAACTAAAAGCTATGCAGAGAAGAATGGGGCTGACAGGAGGAGGTTCTGTCATCTGTCTCCTTTAGCTCTCCCCTCCCCCCTGCACTCATGTGGCCAGGTGATTCTCTTCCTGTAGAAAGCACTGGTACAACAAAGCCACTCGCACACCAGTTAGTGACTCAAGGAATTTTTGGAGCTCTAACCAAGAGTGGTTTGAGGGTCTCAAGCGTGCTGTATCATTCACAACAAAAGAGGGGGTATGTGTGTGTATGCATACGTCCATCTTGTGTGTTATTGTTTGTAGAAAAATGGCAGTAATACATCTCTTCGAATTTGAACCATATCTCAAACACAGTGAACAGCACACAGACAGCCCATCTTTAGTCACTGATCTCAGCCACAAAGTTATTTAGTCATTTCTAAAATATCAAAATTCTAGGCTTTCACTATGCAAAAGAGAAAACAGCAATTCCACTGAGGATGTGCTGTCACATGCGGGAGAGGTGTGGCTGTGAGCCAGGCAAAAACAGTGATGAAGCTTGGCCAGCCACTCTAGCCTGCTCAGTGAAAAGCAGGACAGTGGGGAAAAAAGAGCCTCTAAGGGCCTGGGTCTGAAAGACCTCCAGAACACTGGCCAGTTACAGGCAGAATGTCTGCCTGTGGGAATGCCAGCCATATTTGGGAGACCTGCAGCATTTCCAGACAGGAAAGACTGTCCTTCCTGTTTTGCATTTTTGCTAGGTTAATGTGAGAGCTTTCACTCTCAATGACTAAATTACTCAGAAAAATGGTGAGGGCAGTTTTCTAAGCAACTTGAGAGGAAGCACTTACAAGTAATTTATTGACTTCTCTACTGGAGCAACAACTATAAAGGCCATGTTTTTATTTTAAACTCTTGGATCCACATTTTTTAGTGTCCATCTGATTTAGCTGCCCAAACAAATAATATTTTGTGCTTGTTCTTTATTTGCCTCAAACAATTTATTCTTTTTTTTTTTTTTTTTTTTACCTTGAACTTGTAATCCTTCTGCCTGAACCTCTCAAGTGCTGGAATCACAGGTGTGTGCCATTACGCTAGGCTTAACATTTGTATGTATTCTTTGTGGTACTAGGGTATGAACTCAGGTCCTACACCTTGAAAGCCACTCCAGCCCTTTTTAGTGAAGGGTGTGTTCAAGATAGGGTCTCACAAACTATTTGCCTGAGGCTGGCTTTGAATCCTGAGCCTCCTGATCTCTGCCTCCTGATTATAGGTTAGGATTATAGGCGTGAGCCACTGGCTCCTGGCAATATTCTTGATGGTAATTTGTAAAATGTAAATAGAAATGAAACTGCCAGGGACAGGTAAAGTTGCTCACATCTGTAGTCCCAGCTACTCCAGGCCAGTGGGGTGGGAGGGGGAATTCTCAAGACCCCATCTCAACCGGCAAGTCAGGCTAGTGACACATGCCTGTCATTCCAGCTACACAGAAAACAAATAGGAGAAATGCAGTCCAGGCTGGCTCAGGAAAAAATACAAGACCCTATCTCAAAAAGAACTAAAGCAAAACAGGGCTGGCAAAGCGGCCCAAGTGGTAGAGTGCCTGCCTTGCAAGTGTGAGGCCTTGGGTTCAAACCCCAGTACCACCAAAAAACACAGTGAAACTGCCAATTAAGATCCTAGACACCCAAAGGGAGCTTCTGCTTCTGATCCGGGTATAGGCTTTGCACATGGGGTTGTCATGATCCAAACTTGTCAATGATCACTTCACAGTCAACGTTACTGAGGGGCATGCAAATCTCTTTGCAGGATTTATTTTTTTATTTTTTATGTTTTGTACTGGGGATGGAACCCAGGGCCTTTTGCATGTGAGACGGTCACTCTACCACTGAGCTCCATCCCATCTCCTTCCTGTCTAAATTTGCTTTGGGGTCGTTTGTACAGAGTAGTCTGACCTGGTGCTGCTCACCTCCAGGGCTCTCCTGAATGCTGAGGTCAGGGAAAGGTATGAAAACTAGACAGTGGGTTTTGCCCTTGGGATGGAAACAATACAATATCATTATTCTAGTGTGAGCCCAGAAGTGATCCTCGTGATCTTCTTAAAGTCCCCAGACACAGGCAATGAAAAACACTGCTTTGGGCAATTCCAAAAATTGCCCACCCAGGCCAGGCCAGGCCGTGATCACACTGTTGTCTCAGGGTCACCTGCATGTTGTCTTAACGGTACAGTCACCGGTAGGAAACTTCTCAGATCTGTGTATGACAAAACACCCCAAGGCAGAGACGAAACCCTTTTTCTAATGTCAAGGCCATTTCCCAGGACTTGGGCAGCAATGGGCCACTTGCTAGACACTGGACTAGCCTGCGCCCTGGAGTGCAGTGCAGGTACTTCCATATGGTCCGGGTAGAACGACTGCCCAGGAAGCAATTTTCCTCTGGAAGTACACAATAGGCTTCTTCAGACTCAGCTGCAGAGGGAGCATGTGCAGCCTTCTTGTGCACATGCGGTTGAGGTGCTGGGGTGAGGACGTCTGGGGACTAGACCTCTCTGGCCTTCCCCGCATCTGCTTCTATGGATACGGCTTTGTGCACAATTCAGACTGTGAATCCAACTTTCTTAATCACCTTTCAAGTCCTTGGCAAGGTAATTTTGAAAGATGATTGCAGATTTTCCTGTATTTGACAAAGACCACGTGAGCCCAGCTGCACTAGTTTTCTTATGTGGAAGCATGACATGGAACTCTGGACCCGTTAGCCATTATCCAGAGAGTTTAGAGGGAGAAACATGTTATTTGTATTATATCTACCCTCCCCATGCTAACGCACTGCACATTGCAGCGGGCCACACCTCTGAAGGTGCATTATTAAACCTTCCAACAACTCCATGTCTATATGGCCCTCTGGAGCCACAGGTTCCATCTTTGCCCAATTCAACTAACCACAGATTGAAAGTATTTGAGATAAAAATTCCTCAGTACCACAAAAAACAAAAAAAAAAACCTTTCATTTCCTTTGCCAGGCTCCAGCGGCTCATGCCTGTAATCTTAGCTGCTTGGGAGGCTGAGATCAGGATCAAGGTTCGAGGCCAGCCCAGAAAAAAAGTTTTTAAGACCCCCCATCTTCAAAATGACCAGAGCAAAATGGACTAGGGTGTGGCTCTACAGTAGAGTGCCTGCCTAGCAAGCACTCAAGCCCCAAGTTCAAGTCCTGGTACTGACAAAACCAAACAAAAACCTAATAAAGACAACAAGAAGTAGAAGAAATTATTTTGACATGGAATCTTTGTTTCCCCAGGTCAATTGTGTGTGTTGTGATTGCTTCTTGGGAAGCCTGTTTAGATTGCCTGGAGGTGGGACCTTTCGGGAAGATGTTTGAATTTAGGAAGAGCCTGGGGAGCAAGGGCATAAGCTGGTGAGCGCACATCCTGGGCAGCGTAGGTCCGGGAGGAGCAGGGGAATGCCGGGCCCTTAGCGAAGGTAAAGGCACGTGGCATTTCCTGGTTAAACTGAGCGACTCAAGCACGTAAAGCCAAGAGTGCAGAATCAGTGCTTATTGAAGACGTTGCCTCACCAGACCTTCGCAGCGAACCTTTTCAGCATCAGGCCACAACAGCAGTCAGAGCTCAGAGAGGAGGGAAGAGAAGTGATGGGCTGACGGAGGACCTGCAAACCTTGTTTAGTGAGAGGCAGCCAAAGTCCAACCTCTCAGAGATGAATCTGCAAAACTTCAGGAGGCAGCCTCTATTTTGAGAAACCAAATTACGACTTGAAATGAAGACGATAGCATTTTAAACCTGGAATTAAGGAAATTAAATGGAAAATGTAAAGCAGGAAAAACTGCAGTTCAGAGATGATTGAAGATGCAAAGAAACGTCAGAATTAAAAATCAAAACCTCTTGTCATTTTTACGAAGAGCAGCTGAAGATTCTGAGAACACCTTTGCCCTGATGTACTAGACTAGATTCTGGTTTCGTATCATTGTGTTATGCTCAGCTCTTGGAGGACTTACTAAAAAATTCCCTTTCATTTATGGTCAAGTTCATCATGCACATGACTCCTTTTACAAGATTCATGTTTGATCCGGGCACAATAGTAATCCCAGAACATGGGAGACTGAGGCAGGAGAATCTTGAGTTCGAGGCCAGCCTGGGCTACATAGCAAAGCTCTGTTTCAAGATACCCCCACACCACACAAAAAAGAAAGATTCGTCTCTCATAAATCTTTTATAACTTCCCCCGACTCTTAAGAACTTTAGTTTTATGCTGTACTTTCTCTTTTAAACAAGCAATCATTCTACCTTACCACATTTATTTCCCTTTTGTAACACATCATTGAAAGTACACAAAATTCTTTACATACAAAATTTTCATGTTTTTATCTTTCCTTGGTAAAAATAAATCCTCATGACTATAATTTTCGTTTGCCTCTCTCTCTCTCTCTCTCTGTCTCTCCCTACTTATTGCTTCCTTTGTCTTAATTTTACTTTCTTTCTAAATCATTTTGGGGAAAAAACTCTTTAAATAAAATACCCAAATGAGACAAAATTAATTTTTCTCAATAAAAGAACATAATTTATGCCATTTAAAAATTTTGAGCTGGTGGAGTGGCTCATGGCTCACACCTGTAATCCTAGCCACTCAGGAATTAGAGATCAGGAGGATCATAGTTTGAAGCCAGCCCAGGCAAATAGTTCGTGAAA